ATGGCTTTTTTTAAAGTGCCTTTCCCATTATGCTAAACGACACCTGCACCCTGGAAGCAGATTTTAACTCATTTTCTGTCTTTGGCTAGGTGCTAAATATAGGCGCCAGCATAGTCGGCGATGTGCTCCATGCTTTGAAGAGTGAAGGAAAACGCTGGTGGTATTTTTAGTTGCTGATTAATTAATGCAAATGAGTATCTAGAAGTGGAAGCAGCAATGAGAATGAACAGCAGTTCGAAAGCACGGCATCCAATGTGCCCAGTTTCCGGGACAGGCGGCAGCTGCCTTTCCATAGGAACAACGTAGTGTCTCTGCTGCCCTGGGCCAAAATTCCCATGGAAAGGCAACAGGTTGTGAGAGGCTGGGCGATAGCCGCAGGGTGAGGCTTCTCTCAAAGTGCTTTTGAAAATGATTCATTCATTTTATTAGTTGCTTTCATATCTATGCTCCCACCAGTGAACTCAAAGTCATGTGCACTTTGAATTATTCCATTGCATTTTAATTAGCATATAGTTTCATTGTTTTCTAATGTTTAACTTATTAGGTTTTTAATTCTGTTCTTTTTAATATTGTGAGCCATCTTTTGAGGTCTCCTTTTCAGGAGAAACAAGGGATGTGGTGGCGCTGCGGGTTAAACCGCAGAAGCCTCTGTGCTGTAAGGTCGAATCCACGCGGAAATTTGAACTCAGGTTTCCTGAGTTGCAGTTCAGCAACCAACCAACCAACCAACCAACTAACTAGACTTCTCTCCTCATCCCATTTATCCTCAGGAGATCCCTGAGAGGTAGATCAAGCCAAGAGATTCTGACTGGTCCAGGGTCAAGTGGAAATTCGAACTCAGGTTTCCTGAGTTGCAGTTCAGCAGCCAAAGCACTACACTACACTGGCTTTTGAAGAAAGTTGTTTTTGTTATGTGTCATTAAGTCAAAATCGACTTATAGCAACCCTAATAAGGCTTTCAAGGTAAGTGAGATATTTAAGGAGTGGCTTTATCAGTTCCACACCCCCAGTGAGTTTCTGTGGCTGAGCAGGGATTTGAACCCTGTTCTCCAGAGTCTAGTCTGTCACTTTATCCACTACACCACACAGGGTTGCACATACGGTGGTACCTCGCAAGACGATGACCCCGCTAAATGATGAATTCGCATAACGATGACTTTTTGCGATCACTATAGTGATTCACAAAACAGTCATTCCAATGGGGGATTTTTGCTGGACGTTGATTAGGTCTGTGCTTCACAAACCGTTTGGTCGCATGACCAGTTAATCTGAAGAGACCTGGGAAACTTGCTCAGTGTAACTTTGGAGCAAGTGAATCCACAGTTGTTTTGCTGTGTAGTTACACCGTCTAACTCAGGAAACCTCGGTTGAAATCTCTGCTCTACTGTGGAAACTCATTGGTGGGTGGCAACGGTGAACCACTCCTTGAATATACCACATGCCTTGAAAATCCTGTCAGGATAAGTCAGAAGGGATTTGACAGCCTGTAAATACAACAAGTTGTTTTTGGCTTCCCAGGAGCATATAGGAGAGTACTGCAAGGAACTGGGAGGCTGAATTACAGGGCTTTTCATCTGCTCCATTAGAGTCCTTCTGATATTCTTAGATCATCCACTGTCACCTCTAAGTTTTCCCCCAGCAGGCTGCCTCTCAGTTAGCTTTGCTGTATGGGCTGCCTTGCTGCTTGCACCCTGTGCTTCAGCTGCAGAATTTGGGGTCCTTGAATGCACACTTGCACCAATAGCCTGAGTATCTGTTGCAAACACCAAAAACAGTCCTGTGGGATCTTAATTACTAACAAATATATAACATTATGATCTTTGCCAGACTAAGGACTTGTCTACACAGCTCAACTGGTGTGGGCTGGAGTGGGCCAAACATGGTAGCTGAAGGTCAGGCAGAGGTCCCATAGGATATTTGCTGTGATCCTTGCATCCACATACAACTCTGTTTGGCCTTCCTTTCTTAAGAAAGACAACAAAACAAATCCCCCCCATCCTTGCCCCTTCCTCTCTCTGGGAGGAAGTTTTCAATTTTTTCCCCTAAGCGGTATAGCATATCAGCACTGTCCTAACATACTTTAAAAGAAAAAAGAAAAATCCTTTTGATTCCTTCCTCTGCCCATCTATGGAGAAGCAGGGAAAGTGTTTAATTTCTTGACAATGGTGAAGTGGTTAAGCAGTCTTCTCAAGCCATTTAACAATACTGGGAAATTGAAAGTGGAAGGGAAATTTAAAGCCACAACCTCCACTTTGGTGTGTTTCCAGCAATTGCATGTACTGGAAATAAACCAAATGGAGTGATCCTACCCTGCCCCACAGGTAGCCCCTGACATCCAGAAAGATGTGGGTAGGATCGCTTGGGGGACAGGCTGTTTTGCTCTAGCAAGTACATGGCCAGATCCCCAGCAAACCAGCTCCTGCCTACAGCAAATGCCCATCTGATCACATCCTAGTCTACTTCATCAGATGCATGAGTGCTATCCTGAACGCCAGTATATATAGCACATATTGTTGGGAGGAAAGTGTGTGACTATAGACAATGATTTCAGAAGGAGATTACAGTGATACGTGATGAATAATGTACTGAAGAAAAAGAGCAGTGTGCTCCTTATACGAAATCCAAGAACAAGAGTTTAGTGCCTAGCCCGAAGAATGGTTTTGTTGGACTTGAAAGCTTTCCTGGTTTGGTGTTTTTATTTTTGGTGTTCTAATTAAGTAATTAAGGGACGTGGAGGCACTGTAGCAAGTACATGGCCAGATCCCCAGCAAAGGGAGCAAACCAACTCCTGCCTACAGCAAATGCCCATCTGATCACATCCTAGTCTACTTCATCAGATGCATGAGTGTTATCCTGAACGCCAGTATATGTAGCACATATTGTTGGGAGGGAAGTGTATGACTATAGACAGTGATTTCAGATGGAGATTACAGTGATACGTGATGAATAATGTACTGAAGAAAAAGAGCAGTGTGCTCCTTATACGAAATCCAAGAACAAGAGTTTAGTGCCTAGCCTGAAGAATGGTTTTGCTGGACTTGAAAGCTTCCCTGTTTTTATTTTTGGTGTTCTAATTAAGTAATTACATTCCTAGTGTGGTGCAGTGCACAGAATGATACAATAAGACTCCAGAGAATATGGATAAAATCCCGCACTTGGCCATGGAAACTCACTGGGGGATTGGAACCAGTGAAATCATTCCTTAAATGTCTCACTTACCTTGAAAGCCCTATTAGGGTCACTATAAGTTGGTTACAACTTGACAGTACAAAACGCACACCATGAAATAATTGCTGGCTGGATAATAGCTCAGTGGTTTAGGTATATAAGTGCAGAGCTAGAAGTCAGGAGGAAGATTCGCTGCTGTGCCTCTGGTGAAGAAGAGCCAGCCTGGGTGGCCTTGGGCCAGCTGCACCATCCCAGTTCTGCCCCCAGAAGAAGGGAAGGGCCAGCCACCTCTGAGTGTTCTCTACCTGGAAAGGGCTGCAGTCAGAATTGGCTTGACGGCACCCAATTGTTACATTATCAATGAAGTAATTGCTCACTTTTGTAATCAGATTATTAACACTCGCTGCTCACTGAACTGTTGCTGTAAATGCAGAACATCGGCGCACCCAAGTAAAAGCCGATTGAAACATGGAGTGTTCTTTTGATGCTACAGAGGAAATTTGAAGAGACAAAAACGAGTCACAAAGACCTTGTTATTTCACTGGGACTTGTAGCACCATACTGGATGCCTGAGTCTTTCCGATACTTTCCCCCTGTGCTGCGATCAATGCGCCCTCACCTATTTGTTAGGTTCCCTCAAGACCTTTCTGACTTTGGCTGACCTTATGAATTAATGACCTTGCAAAGATCCTGTCATTCGCAGCTGCTATCTAGGGCTTGCAAAGTCAGGACCAGGGCTTCCTTTGTTGAATCTATCCACGTCTTATCCGACCTTCCTCTTTTCCTACTGTCTTCAACTTTCCCAGTACAGTATTGTTGTAGTTTCCGCGTGGCCCGCACGCCTCCCTGTTCTTGGTTTCCCCCAACAGGCAGCTTCCTCCACTCCTGCTGCTGCTTTGAGCGTCTGTCGGATCTGAATAATTACCCTCTTTTTAGGCGCAAGAGACGCGTTCCTAGGAATGTTCGCTGGCAGTTTTGACAGGGGCGGCAGGCGGAGCCGCTGCAAACGTCTTAGAATAACAAAGAAACACGAGTTGGGCTTGGGGGCAAGCACCTTTTCCGGGGGGCCTGGGCGAGCGCCAACCTGCGCTCCACCCTCCTCAAAGAGTATTTCAACAACAAGGAATCCCGTGACACCGGAAAGACCGACAACTTTCCTTCGACAGGTGCTTCCCACAGCTGCTAGGACGCACCGATCGCCGCAAAGGCTTGCTTTGGAGAGCGCGCGCCACCGGCGTCCCGTTTTTACGCACGGGCACCAGGGAGGGAATCTGCGGCAACCCGCACTTCGCCTTCCTTTCCCAGGCGAGAAGACGTCCGGGACGCCGGGGAGCTCCCCCGGGCTGCTTCCCGGGCAGCGCCGGAGCCGCGAGGGGCGTGACACGGCTCGGCCACTTCCGTGCGTTTTTACGCGCGGGAGAGCGCGCGCCACCGGCGTCCCGTTTTTACGCACGGGCACCAGGGAGGGAATCTGCGGCAACCCGCACTTCGCCTTCCTTTCCCAGGCGAGAAGACGTCCGGGACGCCGGGGAGCTCCCCCGGGCTGCTTCCCGGGCAGCGCCGGAGCCGCGAGGGGCGTGACACGGCTCGGCCACTTCCGTGCGTTTTTACGCGCGGCTGGCACAAAAAGGCGCAACGCCGACGGGGCCGCCGCCACTTTATAGAGGAGACTCGAGGGAAGGAGAAACCCCCTTCCCTCCCTCCCTC